CTACATCTTGGATGCCCTGGGGGTAAGCAGATAAACATCAAGTTTTCATTTTTGGGTGAACTATCCCTTTAATGGCGGAGAGAGCTTTCTACATGGAATATAACAAGAAGGTGCTCTAAGGTCAATGGTTCAACATGGTCTAAAACAAAAAGCTAGATAACAAAGGCACTACAATTTATTTAAATGCCTTTATTATTACATGGCTATACATACAAAAATGATAAGATCCTTTCATTTTCATTTTTTACGTTTCAGCGTAAGCCTTCCCCAGGAAGCATAACACAGGTGAGTGTAAGTTTTCCATAAGCTGTCAGCTGGCATGTGACTCCTTTACATAAGTAGGATGTGCAAATTTACAGTATTCACAAAACAATAGGCAAAAAGTACCCGGATGACTTACTGCTTCCGGCGATATTCTGAAATGAGCATCCGATGAACACTTTACCCTTACCCATGGGGCCACAGGAGAGGATTCATGAATGGCAGTGAGGTGACGCAACTGACGCTGGCAACACGTGACAATAGCAACATGGAGAATGTAGTATGCCTCGATTACATTCATACTACACCAATTCTTACTATATGCATACAGTTGTGGTCAAAATTTTACATACACTTTTCAGTATCTGAAAAATGTAAATTATTTTACCAAAATAAGAGGGATCATACAAAGTGCATGTTATTTTTTTATTTATTACTGACCTGAATAAGATATTTCACATAAAAGATGTTTACATATAGTTCAGAAGAGAAAATAATAGTTGAATTTAAATGAAAGTTACATCTTTTCATCATAAGATCAAAGCAAAAACATGAGGCCAGAAGTGAAAATATACTGGTTGTGACATGGCATGAATTTTATGTGTATGATATTCAAGTCTGTTTATGATGGTGGCCAACAGGTACTTTCAATTTACCGGGTATTCTCCAGCGTCTCCTCGTTCCTCGTGTTTGTGCATCGTGACAGTCACTAAGATTTTACAGTAGTCTATCATCTGTATGACTAATTATAAACATCCAGTTCCAGAGGGATGGATTTTATAAATCAAATGTTTTTTTTTTTCCTACAGTGCTGTAGTATCTGAATGTTTAACAAATTCAGATGTTCTACTATATTTGTAACATATTAAAAAATCAGTTTAATAAGTAAATTACCCCAAACTAAGAGACATCATGTGTTCAAAAACTTGTTTAGGGCTCAAACAATTAGAGCTCACCTACATCACACTGTCATTCAGGTTGAGGATGATGTCTCTTACAATATTTGTTTTTGCTCTGAAATTGATCAAAACTACAATTTTATTCTCTTGATCAAAGAAACCAACCTTTTACAATGCATATTCTACAAAATAATAAAGGAATGTTTTCCACAATAAAAGAACAAAAGGAATCATTTATATGAGTATAAAATATATTCAAACATAAACATACATAATTTGTATCTATATTGTTCAACTAAATATTTAAATGCTTGACAAATTCCACTTAGAGACTTTGGTCTCAGAGTGGCGATGCAAATTAATCCAAATTAATTAGCGCTTTGAATCAATGCAATAAAATAATTTCTACTTATTCACAGAACTCTACTGCCTTTTTATCATGAAGTTTGAATAAATATCAATATTTGATACATACATTGCAAATATACACTACCATTCAAAGTTTGAGGTCAGAAGGATTTGATCAAATAAATGATAAATGTAGCCTATATATATATATATATATATTATAAATCTTACGAGCCACAAAGTTCTGAATAGTCATATATGGTGAATATTTGGTGTATTATCCAGCTAAATAGTTGCTAAATGTCTGCTAAATATCTGTGATGAAAATTGTGTTATAATGTTAGGTCATTTTACAGTAATTTCAAGATCTGAAATTAAATTCAATAATGTCACACAGACACATTATCTCAACATTAAAATTTGGAAAGATGCAAAGCATGGGGAGCAGAATAGCTCTTGTTTATTCTAATATGTTGTTTTGACTTTTTTCATTTGGTCTTGATTTAGTAACAAAAGCATGAGTCACTCTCATGGCGTGTGTTGAGGTCATGCCGGATTGTATTACCATCACTCTTGCCACAGAGCTGAAGATGTGTGGCTGAACCTAATCAATTCTGGAGACGCAGTAATAGCGAGAGACAGTCAGGGCAAAAGGTTGACAATTATGCAAACATTGTGGACTGCAATGCAAATGTCCTCACAAATTATCTCTAAGATTATTTTTGACATTTATGCAAGGTCCCATTCAATTATGTGTCTTGGTGGCTATTCAGCAGCATACCATGCTTTGGTTTGGCAGATTAAAAATGGACCGTAAGTGTGTTTTGTGGAATTATATACTGGTTTAACTTCGAGTCAGCCTTAGGTTGCAATTTAGATATAAATTGCAGACGTACCTTCTCTGGATCCACCGCTGTTATGACCCACACACAGTGTGCGTTATTCTCATACTGGACGGGGTAATTTGGAGACGTTATGATGCCTTTAGGGCCCCGCAAATTAGAGCCACAGGTCCTAGCTGTTGAAAGAGTAAACAGTACAAAGAAAGTAAACACATATTTAGCAACTGCAATGTTTTTGTAGTTATTGCTGTTGCTATTGAAAGGAATGCAACACACTTTGAGTTACATGACAATAGGATATTCGAAGACATGTAATCATCAATATAAGAATTGAATGCAGTATAACCAGGCTGTCATCACTATCGCTTTGTCAGCTGCCTAGAGAAGCATTCAAAGGCTTTTCCAAAAGGTAGGCATCTGTCATTCATAGAAGGCAATCACTGCAACGCGCAAGTTTGGTGAAAACAAACAAACAAATGGATCCAAGATGGCAGATGAGCAAAGAGAAATGCTGGTTATAAATGTATTTCCTTCAGTAAACAGTGCAATCTAAATATAAATTGCCTATTTTACTTAATGCATGTATGCTGTAAAGCGTATTGTGTTTTTAGCTTAGCGACATGCTAATGTCAAACTCATTTTCAACTTACAATCGTTTGACGTTAGCATTTGGATAAGAATGAAAATTATCATAGTGAACTATTTTTTATCAGTGTGTTTTTGTGTTGAATAGATTATAAATCAGCATGTATAACTGATATTTCTCTTACTTAACCTTTTATTTCTCCTTTTTTCACTGAGCTTGTCACAATGTATTATTGGATTTCCTTCTTCATATGCATAAATTAAAATGTGGCCAAAACTAAGTATTTTAGAAGGCGTCTTATAATGCTGCCTACCTTTTGGAACGGTCTTTGAGTCCACAGTGTAACCTACCTATGATGCCTAAAATGCTTTATTTGTACGCAGCTCACTAGGTTTTCGAATAGATATTTCCATCCCGCCCCACACTAAAAACACTTCCTTTGAACACATCCAGCCGTCACGACATGAGCTAATCTATTTAAGGTCATGTCTCAGAATAACTTGACTCAATCATTGACAAAGTCAGGGTATTTTTTCCAACCCTATACTGTGCCAGGGTATTAACTGCTTCTCCCTTGTGTTTAGTCAGGGATTTTCTTTGACAGCTTAAAAGAGCAGCCACTCCATTGCTGTGGCTTCATTGGCTTCCTCACAGGGTACTAAGGAAGGTTTGGATAAGTAGAGATGTGAAGAGATAGCATATATTCTCAAACAGGGCTTCTTCACTGCCTATGTGAAAATGAGCTCAAAATGTTTTCCAACCAAACAAATCCATAAACATCAACCACTAAACTAGTATTTCCTGAAGGAAACAGCAGTGTTTGCACTTCAGCAAATGAACAGCGTTAAAGGTATAGGGAAGTTTAGCCATTGCTTCTGTGTATTGTAAATTGCCCAATTTGACATCTTATTTCAGCCTGGTCTCATGTTTATACGTAGGTATTAATACGTAATATTTTCAAGCACAAAACATTGCAGGAAAATAACCATTTTAGTAACAATATAGCATTAAAATATTAGTTATAAAATATAGTCGCTAATCCCACTCCTACCTATAAACCCAGTGGTGTATTGTAACTAAGTAATAATACTTCGTTACAGTACTTAAGTATTTTTTGGGAGTATCTGTACTTTACTTGAGTTTTTATATTTCAGCCAACTTTGACTTTTACTCCACTACATTTCCTTATTAAAATTTATACTTTTACTCCGATATATTTCCCCGAAGCATATTCGTTACTTACTACAAAATAATCAGAAGAACACAGACTGCAGGAAAGCAGGTTTGACAAATCAGTGGTCTGCCGTCTGCAAGTTAGACTCCTAAAAACATCTTTGCTCATGTCCAAAAAAGTGCGCGGCTGCGCGCACAACCGCGGATTATTTCATTTTCCACTCAAGTCGAGTCTGGGGTATGCGATACAGCATCGTCTGTGATAATATGGTAAGTGTTGTAATGATGTGCGATCTGACATTATCAAGTATATCAC